GCTGCCTTGGTTTGAATTCCACTAATTCCACTTTCTCCCTACAGCAGCCCTGCCATTCCCCTCTGCTTTCTAATTTTCCTGGTATTTCTCAATCAGCAGCAGAGGATTTGGGGGACACTCAGCTGCATCAGGATGAAGTTACAAAACTATGGATGTCATAATTCTGAATTATACAGTAACAAGCACTATTGCTTCTTATTCATGTCTGCTTTGAATTAGTAATGAAATTTTAGTAACTACTGTTGCCTGAGAAGAATCTAAATGCTGTTGGCTCTGAACTGAACTCCCATTTTTTTCCCCAGTAGCTCGGTTACCACAGTCCAAGAAGGACAATGGCTTGCTTGTGTGTTACATCCCACACATATTGAAGCAGGGATTTCCAGCACTGGTTGAAGAAGCTGAGAACAATAGCTCAGAAACATCTAGAGGGCTTTAATCCATGTGCTATAATTGAGAGAAAACTATTATACATGGTGCTCCTGAATCACAGGTACAGCTAGCTGGTCAGTACCTGTCAGTCATGGCTGAATTTTCTTTTCTCTTTTACCATTAGGTAATGAGTATTGTCACAAATGAAATTGCCATCTGTTCTGTGAAGCAGATCACTAAGTTCAGCAGAACAATGGATGCATAAACCATTTTTGCTGATGAGAATCTTTGGAGGGGAGCCACAAGGTTTAAGACAGAGGCCAAGGGTCTTGCATTTAATCGATTCTTTTTATGTAAAATGAAAACATGGCTCATGAAAATAGCATATGGGTGAATAGGACCATACAACACTGTATATTCTGCTAGTCAACCAGATGGGAGTATATTTTTAAATGAATGAAGGGGAACAGCAATCAAAGCAGTCCAACTCTTATTTAAAATGTTCATTTTATCTCAAAAGTGGTCTCGCTACTGCTTTTAAAACCTTATTCATGTTGGTACAATATTAGTAATTAAATAAGCCCCATAATAAGATGCTGTAGGGTATGACTGGTGTGCAGGGTGTGTATGTGTGAACAAATGTTGATATAAATGAGTCCCTGGGTCTTCATTCCTAGGTGAAATATATTTATCCAGTTCACTTTTGATTATTTAAAGTACAGTACTGATATGAACCAGTTGGGCTTTATGCATAAGGTTTTGTACATGCAATAAACAGCTCCATTTGGCTTGGGGGAGCAACTTAAATACCTTCACTGGAACCTGAGGGAAATGGCTGTTATTTCTTCCTTTCAGTTATAATAGTGTTACTGTTTGCATTGTTTATTGCATCAAGAAGAATATTACTCTTTTCAACTATATTGGAAGTCCTGAGAGTAGTGTTTCTCAACCTTGGCAACTTTAAGATGTGTGAACTTCAACTCCTAGCCCAGCCAGCCATGCTGGGTGGGGAATTCTGGGAGTTGAAGTTCACACATCTTAAAGTTGCCAAGGTTGAGAAACACTGCTGTAGGAGATCTAGAGGTGGTATGAAAGCAGAGAGCTTTTTACGTACTGGAAACTCAGAACAGAATCATATCAGACTTTCAATCCTAACAATTAATTGCATCTAGGTTCCTGTCTCCTTGTGTAGTCTAGTAGCCTCTTGTATACAACTCTCCCAACCTAATCCCGTAATGTGAAATAGGGAGCTAATGTCACTGGGTGACACCATAGGTTGTTGTTAACTACTCGGGATCTGCAACATTCAGTATGAACTGTACTTTGAGGCTCCTACTGTATAATCCCATCTCAGTCAGTTTTGGCCTACAGCCTTTTTAATCTTAGCTAAAGACAATTAAAATGGCTCTGAGTAAGGATTGGCAGGTTTATTTTTTTTAATGTCTCACACTGAGTTAGAAAAAATGAGAATTCTGCTCTTTCATGATACATTTGGGCACTGCTGGAAATCCTACTACATTTAAAACTTGAATTTTTATTTGCTCTTCATTTATGCTATGGACATCTTTCAATCCCTTGAAAGATGCAAAATTATGTTCTCAGTGTAAAGTAGGAAGTGGCCTAGCCAAATCATAAACTGATTCATTTTATCTTCCCCCCCCCCTCGCTTCATGCATCTCTTCCTCTTTCCTCCCTTTCCATCCATTCCAACCACCTGATTGTAACCTCCCCCACCCTGAGTCGATATTCCATGATGTTAAATTTATTTCATATCTTTGGAAATCTCAGAATTATTCCTATTCTGCTAATACTTCCATCACCTATTTAAGTAGCTGCAAGTTTGTAAATAGGGTATTTTATTTTCTGAAGCTTATTTTACATATGAATCAAGTCTAATATTAAGCCAGTAAAGTGGGTGTGCTTGTGTGTAAATAAATAAATAACTTGGAGATATGCCACACATAATTATTGTGTGTGTGAGAGAGAGAGAGAAATATATATACATAAAAACATGATTTCATAATAATTAGAAAAGATTGCTGTGATGATTTCCTGCCCAAGCTATGCCATTGGCTTTGCTATGTAATGATACATAAAGCACATTTTGAATAAATCTTGTTATGAAAAGCAAATTTTAATAGGAGTATGAGATGCACAATTTAATCCGGAACTGTAATAATAGAGCAGTGACTTTTTAAAATAATTTGCATGCATTTTCAAACCTTGATATCAATCAGCCTCTTGCTAATCTTAGTACATGAAATGAAGCTTGGCATGACCAACTTGCTGTGTCCTTTTTCTATATCCATTGTGGTCACAAGAACCAGATTTAGCCAGCACCCCACAATCTGAAAAAAGCATTAAATCCCCAGGCAAAGCAAAACAAAAGTGGATCCCTAGACTTTTGCTTTTGGCACTGGAAAAATACAACAGCTTAAACAGAGATAACTAGTTGGAATCTCAGTACTGGCTAACAATAGGATTGCCATTTTGCATACTACGCATAATTAAATTGGTCACTTTGGAGGGAATAACAACCTAACTTCTTATAAATGGGAATCAGTGGCATTTTCAGAGAAGGTAAAAAAAATCAAGATGTGTGTGATGTCAGTACCTGTATATAAAGGACTAGACAACCTGTGACCCATTGGGTCATTGTTTCAGAGATATTTCCTTATCTAAACAGAGAAACAGAATGGCCAAGGGCAAGAAAGCAGTGGGAGTGTGAGCGACTTGCGACTTGCGACTTGCTGCTGGCTTCCCCATTGACTTTGCTTGTGGGAAGCTGGCAGGGAGCTTCAGAAATCTTCCTTCCTTCCTTCCTCCCTCCCTCCCTCCTTCCTTCCCCACATATAATATAGGCTTATGCCATTTGCCCTCCCCTCATGACCCTCAGGAGAGCCCCGGTGAAGCCTCCTCCTCAACTGACCTGCAGAACTGCCTGCCACTTTGCTGAGGGAAGGTGGAACAAAGGAGCCACAGACAATGAGGAAAACTGCACCCCTCTCCTCATTCTGGTCTGTCCCCAAGGAACTCCTCAAGGGAGGAAGAAGGCTCATCTGTTGACCGCTGGTGCCCTTCAGCCAGCCCTACTTAGAATTTCCTTTGTGCTGTAGAAAAGTGTCAGAACTCATGACAAATTCATAGAATTGAATCACTGTCAAGACATGATATAGTCCTAATATACACATCTACTGAGCATAGAGGATAAAGATCCAAAATGAAGTCAACCACATGGCTACAAACCTGGACAGAATACTCTTGTACTTATTACACTGGGATCTTGCTATCCTGTTTGCATCCTTGTTCAGTTTTTCTAGAACTTGTCAGGAACAATAGCTATTTCTACACATTTTGGCTGTTTACATAGGATTGTTTAACTTAAACTATGTTGATTGATTATATTGCATTGTCCAACTTAAATTATGTTAATTGATCATTACCTTGATCTCAGAATAGCCAAGACATGCTATGTAAAACCAAGCCTAAAAATGCTAAAATGTTCATGCCATCTGTGTATGACTTGTGTAACACCTACAGTAGGGGTTAAGGAAGTCTATTCCCAAAATAATGCTAAGTGAAACTCCCCCAGCATCTCCCAGCAATGTCCATCACGGCTGGATCTGCTTGAAGTTCTAATGCAATAATATTGGGAGAGCCAAAAGTTCCCTTTCTTTGAGCTAAATGCTGACTTTGCTGTGGAATTTATCTTTACCAAAGTTCAGTTCAGTTCAACTCAATTCAATTTATTACAGTCATGGACCAGTACAAGCAGATTGCTCTGTGAATACATATAAATCTATCTTAGATAATAAAACAAAATTTAAGACAAAGTATAAAAACATTTATAAAACAACTTAATTAGCATCTATGGATGCAGTTCAGGATGCAGTCTATATTTAGATTATAAAGTAGACACTAAAATAAACTATAATAACATCTAAAATTACAAAAAAGTGATAATATCTAAAATGTAAATGAATTACAGTTGCATAAAATGCATTTGGCTAGCAGAAAATTGGCCCATCTGGGTCCAGCCGATCTTCTACTGGACGCTACAAAAACTAGCTACGTGCACTCTAACAAAAGGCAGTTTGTCTATGAGCAGATCTGGGCATAGGCTGAGTCTGTGTGACCAGGATATCTACTAATCAGAGGTAGGATGTATCTGGTTCAAATGTCTCCATAAAAGGAGCAACAAAGAAGAACATGTTCTGTAATTTCCACCTCTCCAGAATCACAGGGGCAGAGCCTTTCAGCCAATGGTACCTTTTAAATATTTGCCATCCAGTAACGCAGAGGGGAGAGCATGCCATCAGGCAAGAGGGAAAGTTTTCTGATGGCTGGGTGTTTCTAGCTGCGTAAGGTAGCTGCAGCAATGACAATATGTCTGTTGTGTATGGGTGACAGGAGGCTGGGGCCTTCCCTAGAACTGCTTGCCGCTCCGTATCCTTTATCCTTTGCTTTGTTATCTTTGTTAGATATAAAACCATTCAGCCACTCCAAACTGCAACCCAAAGGGACACAGTCTGTACTGAAATTGGACACCACTTCTGCTGCTTGTAAGCAAGTGGTTGGCTTACCAAGCATATTATGAAATGATTAATGAATCTCCTTTCTGTTTCTTTCAGGGTCCACCTGGTCCAAAAGGCGAGAAGGTGAGTCAGCATATCTCTGCCACTAACCAACTAAATGGAAGTCCTCCTGATAATAACTGGTGGCTATTGGAGCGGTTATGATATGAGATGATTTAAGAGACCTGGGTTAGCACACATGCTGTGTTAAAACTATCATCTTTCCACTTTGCAGGGAGATCAAGGTGATCAGGGCCCTCGGGTAAGCATATTAACAAAAATGTTACACTTCCTCTTCCCTGACTAGGCAGTTAGTCCATAGCGCAAAACTAAATTGAACTGAGTGTCGAGCTAATTCTGCTTATTAGCTGCTTTTACCCTGCATGCTTAGAAAGTGACTGCAGGAAAGCCTAAGGCAAACATGATTTCACAGACCATAAAAATATGCAAGTAGAAAGAATTCATGCTACACACATTACTGCACACACTAAAATTCAGAACCTCTGTGGTTCAATAGCTGTATTCTAGAGAATGGTTGTGATTTGCTGCATTAGAAAACCATTTTGCCTAACTAAACTTCCAGCCTTCCCCACCTGTTTCCTTTGTCAGATCTGCATGAGCTTCTAATAAAGCAAATGACAGGTGGATTTTACCAAATTGTACTTCTTTAGAAAGGAGTTCTGCATGCCCTTATCATTTGCTTTTCTGAAATAGCAATTTGTTCCAAGTCTCTAGAACATAGTTTAGAATTAGAAATATAGCAGAAACACAGTATTTGCTGGATTGGATTGTGTTTGTTTATTTGAAAGCTAAGATAATGAAACAGAGGAAAAGATACTGTTGCACTGAGAATGCCAGTTGTTTCTCTTTACATCTGTGCATGGTAGTAAAAATAGAACAAACACCAGCTGGTGCCAGAAAACAATTGTCAGCAGAGAGAGAGAGAGGTGTCCTTCCCCCATCCTTCAGCTTTCCCAGTGGACCTAGCAGTGGTGGCTCCATATTTGGGGGGAGACCCACTTAGTTGCCTGCCTCTTTGGAACAGCTTTGCAGCATGCTCAGAAGGAGAGGGCAGGGGAAAGGCTCTTTTCATGGCTTGCACACTTGGACAGAGAAAATAAGCATGCAACACTGGTAAGGAGAAAATGGAAGAATGAGAGCCAACAACCTATGACGTCATCAGCAGTCCTTGGCCAGCGTGTGAGTCTGAACAACAGGGCCAGTTCTAGATCCTGAGGCTCATTTTAATTGACAGTGCTTTCGTCATCTTGTTACAGCAGTCTGGTCTCTTCACACAGCCTAATGTGGTGGTGTGAGACTAAAATGAATATCTAAACAGGAGCACAGCCAGTAAAATACAATTTTTCTCTATTTGAGATTTTTTTTTCTATTTGTTTTCTATTTGTGTGCAACTTTTTGCAATAAACAGCCCCCAGAACCAACAGCTAATAACATCAAGCAGCTCTCTCAACTTTAATACCCCAACAGGCTCTCAACAGCATTGAAACCCATTTTGGGCAGCCCTTGTGCAAGGTGTTGGGGTCTATATGCTGCTGTTTTAAATTTCCCAGATCACCTCACGAAGAGACTTAAGCAGACATTGAAAGATGCTGTGGAAAATGTTCAGTGTTTATTTCCTAGCAGCCTGCTGCCTCTGTCAATTATGTCCTTAGACCAGGGGTATAGCTGGTATCACTTTGGCCTCCAAGGCTGTCAAAACAGTCTGCAGAGAACGTCTGCAACCTATCTGCAAACTTAGTTCATTACCAACTCTTTAAACACAAAGTCTTTAAACTCCTGCATAGCTAGTTCAACATAGCTGGAGAATACCAGGTTGGAGAACCCTCTCCTGGCAAGCTGTTAATTATTTGTGTAATTTTCTCTGAGATGTATGTTTTTCATGTGGGATTCCAGTCATGTTTGCTGATATTTAATTGTGCATTTGTTTACACGGTTGAGAAAACCACAATGAGTAAAGCCTATCTGTGAACTCAGGGCAGATTCTCAGACTTGGCCTCATTCCATATAGTAGTTTAATAGGAATCTGGTAACTATGATGGGATGTTTTAAGTATAAGGATAGTCATCCTAACTGCTTCTCTCTCCTTCCCCCTTTTCTACCAAGTGCAGGGATGTTGAGCCAGATTCTTGCTGTGCTAGAAAACAATAATGGAAAAAGCTACTGCTAGGATACCTTTTATTCAGGAGTGATGAGTAGAGAGCTCTTCAAGAGATCATTACAGTTGTTTTCCGCTGGCATTCCAAGGCGAGAAGCAAACTATTGTTAGCTTTGAATCAAGTTATAACATTCAAGATTATACAGATTGTGTGTAGCAGTTCTGCTGGGAAAGGCACTTGTTTTGAATCACGCAGAATCATTAAGACATTCCTATCTTCTTCACGGCATTGTTGTTTAATATACTTACCAATATCCACAACTGGACCTGCATGTGTGGACTCCTAGCCTCCTAAATATAACTTATATCTTTTCAAAATGTTTGAATAACGTTGATTTTAGTTCTGATAATGGATGATGCCACAGAGCTTTTCTGTGCATTTTCTCCAAACTTGAAATTAAAAACACACACAAATGTATTCAGCAGGGATGGAAGAGAAGTGATCATTTATAGAGCTCACATCAGATTTTTTCAAATCCAATTTGTTTAAGTCACATGATAGCCAAAATATGTCATGTTTTTAATTTCCTCAAAAGCAAGCATAGGATGCCTTGATCCAGACGGAGACCTATGCATTGGCAGGAGAGGTTTGGTTATCCATTTCCAGCTACACCCTTCTGCAAACTGAACCTCTGGATAGGATTTAGCACTGGAATAAATCCTCCATCAGTGTTGTGTAGAGAGGATGAATCTTCAGTGTATTCTGACTGATGTAGAAATAATTAGACTTCCCATCCAAAGCCCCATTACATGGATGATGAGAGTAGGTCTGTGCAAAGCTTTGAACGGGTGATTCACTTTGAATTAATCACTCCCAAAGTTATTTCACAAAGCAAAACACAGTCTCCTTGCTTCTAACAGCGAAATGCCCATGTTGCTTTGTTTGGCCTGTTATAAAGCCGCTCTCAGCTTTATCTTGTTAGAGCTTGCACAATGCAGAAGACTGAAAAGAGTCTTCTCCAAGGCTGGGTGGCTATGGCAAGTACCCAAGACAAGGCCCCTTGCTTAGCCCTTCCAGTCTTCATAGGCCAAGAGAGGGGTGAGGCAGAACCCTTTCAATGGTTTCTCAGTTCTCAGGCAGCTGGGGAGCCCAGCAGGGCAAATGGATCTTTTTCATGCCACTAGCCTCTCTCATTTCTTACTGGTGCCCAGGAAAAGGCAAGCTGCAGTTGCCCAGTTCAGGAGCCCCACAGTATGTACTAAGGAGGTTTAAGGACAGGAATTACACCCATTCTGAGAACAGCCTTCTTCTTCAGCACTGGTGTGGGTGCACTGAGGGTCTTAAACTGGACAGGTTAAAAATTGTTTCTGAACCCTTTCCAAGATAGCATAGCTGCCATGAGCTTCAGGAAAAGATGCCCTTGGTTTCAAAAGTTGCAGAGAGGTTATAAGTTTGTGTTCTCACACACTTCAAAACACCACTTGGTTTTCACATCTGTAGTTTTGCACAGCCCTAGTCTTTAGTTTAAAGAGAAATCTTGGTTTTGATTTTTACTTCAGTGGGGGACAGGCTCCACAATTAACTGGAAAGGTATGATGCAATTGGATTTTAGAGCCCCAGCACAGTTCCTGGGCAGATGGAAAGCATCAGTCAATAAAGTGATGAGGGTGGTCTTCATGCCACGTCCCACATTGTTCAGAAGCAAATTCTGGAAGAAGGATGGAGCTGCAGAGCAAAGAATGAATGATTAAACACTGCTCCTTTAGCAATACTGCTGATAAATGCTGTTTTTTCTGCAGAGGATCAACAGTTGGATATCACCCAAGGTGTCTTAAGCAGTATGTTTTAGTATTAGGCTGTTAAAGTATGTGTCTATTTTATCTATGAAATGTTGCATGATACGTATTAAACGTTTTACCAATCTAGCAGATTAGTTTTTAATATCTTACTTGGAAGTGTGCCTGTTGATTTTGATTGTCAAGAATCCAAATGTCTAGCAGTCAGCTGCTCATAGAAACATCTCTCCAGTGTAGAAAAAAAATTGCACAACATACCTTTCCCAGAGATTTTGTTCCCAATGTGCCAATCAAAGAAAGCAGCTACTTTTTTCAGTGCTTTCATTTCTTACCGTAGCTTTAGGATTCACTTTCATGAAACAATGCAAGTAATAATTTCCTTTCTATGTTTTTGGATCTTGGCCAGCCAGCCAGAAACTGACAAACTGAGCATTATTGCATATTTGGGATTTCAGCAGATAGATTGAAACAACAAAGTATTCTCTCTGCGAACATTAAAAATCACTAGAAACAGCCCCATTGATGTTTTCAGTTCTAACAATCAAGACCTAGGAACAGAATTGTCTTTCCTATTTCAATCTTTCATGTATTTTTCTAAACTTCAGATCAATGTATGGAGGACTTGATTATGCTTTCCCCTATGTTCTTTCATAATCCATAGAGAATTTCCTTTATTTTTTTTTAAATTAGTATAGTTCATTTTCTCTTATCAGTGTATTGGAAAGAGACATTAAAGGTATCACAATACAGATTTATACAGATATATGAGATTTAATGTATTCCAGTCTTCTGTTGACCTCTTCTTTTTGAAAATGCTTATTTCACCCAGTGTCTGCAGATATTACCAGTGCTTTACATTCATTTGGTATATCAGCTTTTAGCTTTTGTTTACTTGAAGCTAGAAAAAAACAGCAGGTCTTTGAAGATTTCAGAGTGACCTCTATTTAAAGAACATTGCCACCTGAGGATCATTCATGATTTATTGTCCAACTAGAACAGTAATTAATGAAAAGAGACATTGAGTGTGCATGAAATGGCTCTAATTGAATATGTTAATCTATTTTCTATCTTCTTTCTGCAAATGATTCATTCCTAATACAGGGAAGATTTATTGTTTATTAAGCTTCACAATCATCACCCAGCGGCTGATTTTCGATTAGTTTTGCAGTCTAGGTACAATAAGAAGCCACTCGGGGTGCATGCATAACTATTTTCATAAAATCGTTTTCTCCACATGGTGTTTTCTAAGTAATTTTTTTAAACAGTTGAGGCTGCATGCAACTGATAGCATCTTTCAAATGTCTTCAGTTGGAGAGATTAAGTTCCAGAAAGTGAAGGCATTCAGAACT